ATTTATTTTTAAACTAAAAAGTACATTCAGTGCGCTGTACCCTATGGTTTTCTATGGTACAAAATTTGATATTTACACTAATTTATAAACAGAAAAAGTTGCATGTACTACAGTATTACTAAAGTAGCTATCTAGTACAGTTGACTCCCCCTATAACACTGTTGATTATTCCGTTTTATATGAATTCCATATTATACGAGTCACTTAGATTTTACAAATACGTGAGCCGTTCACAGCCCGGCACACGTATTTGTAAGATCTAAGTGACTCGTACAACATGGAATTCATATAAAACGGAATAATCAACAGTGTTATAGGGGGTCGACTTGTATTTAAAAATTCTTTCTATCGGTACATTTTTAAAAAAGTTTTACAACTTACCATAACTTTGTGGACGTAATCTTCGCAATGGGAAACATCACTTGGTTTCTAAAAATGATTTAAGATATTTACAATTATTCCCAGAAAATAAAAAAAAAAAATAAAGTAAAAGATGAAAGATAAATTTACCTCGGGAGCCGAATGTTCGACGAACTTCTGCTCGTCATCCGATAACTAAAAAATTTATTTGAAATTTTATTAATTAATGCATTAGCCTATTTGAAATAAGTCATGTGTTAATTGTTTTAAAGAATTGAAGGATTCTGTATAACAAAATTTAAATAGATCATATTTAATTATCATAAATTATATTATAAAAATAGGTAACAAGTAAAATCTCAGACACTCGATATTTTAAATACGAAAAACTAACGGCCGAATGATCAAAGTGGTTAAAATATTTTGCATAACTCACAAAATTAAATTTATTTTTCTCATTTACACTGCTATTAATTACTACTAAATTATTAATTTTCTAATTAATTAATTTTCTAAGGTCATAAATATAGAAATTTTCATATTAAAATGTCTTACGGTTTTATTTTCTTTAATTGCTTTAATTAACGATTCGTCACAAAATTTCTCGCAGATTTCAAAATCCTTCTGTAATTATATTTAAAAAAAAGTCATTAAATATCATTCTTAAATATTTTCCTATTTCCAAACGAATTATTTGCGATTAAAAAGTAGAAATTTGTTTTAATGTAGGCTTATGTTATAATTATTTTTAAATATTTTACAATAAAGGAATTTATAAGATAATTTAATCATATATTTAATATAAGGAAATCGTTTATACTTCACAGGTTGACAACAGATTTTCTGGTACCTGATGGTCCACAGGACCGTTTTTTTTTTTTTTTTAGTTTGGTTATATACGGTAACACGACATATGGTCGGTCTGCGAGGGAGAATGTCTCCCGACAGGTCTTTTATGGGAAACTGGTCCTCATTTAGGTGTTACAAACGTGAATAAAACCCGTAAATCTCCACGTGATGCACGAAACCCACAATCAACTACAAGTGTTCAATGGTTTCATCCACTCGGGCATTGGTGGACCCATACTTCTTTTTAAAACAGAGAAATATGAGAAGACTCTTAAAATTAAATGCCTATAATAACTTTAGGAACTATTAAAAACGTATGAGAATTAGAATAAATTAATTGCATTAAGTCAGCAGCTGAATACAGAAGTTTTTAAATGAATATAATGATTTATCAAGTCAGTCCATAAGTTCATGCGTATTTTTATCTACAAAAAAGCAATAAAAAATTTTAATTAAATTTTATTTCAATCTATAATGTATTCACTATTATTTTGTACAATTTCTTCCCATCTTGATGGTAGCTTTTTAATCCGGTCTTTGTAAAATGATTTCGGTTTTGAATCAAAATATTCAGAAATAGCCTTTTTTACATTGTTCTCATCCTCAAAAGTTTTTCCTTTTAAAAAATTCTGCAAACTCCGAAAAAGATGATAATCACTGGGAGCAATATCTGGCAAATATGGTGGATGAGGTAAAATTTCCCAGTTGAAGCTTT